GTACATATGTATATTGTGATGCTGTCCTAGATCAGCCTCTGCCGCAATGAAGTCCGGCAGAGGCCGGGTTGCAACACGAGCCCCTCGCTGGCCCACCTCCTTACGCTGAGTTGCAGGAATAGCCTGTAACACATCACTCGCCCCTGCTAGGCCCGACAGGTGCTGCGATTGCAGTCCTGTCCCACTTTGCTCCCCACGCTTCTCCGCCTGTTTCGCTGCCTCCAACTTCTTAACCGCCCTTGCTGCCCGCCTGGCTTCCTTCTTCTTCTCTGCCGCTGTCTTCGGCCCACGCTTCTTAGGTGCGCTAGCCTCAACCTTGTCTCACTGATCGCCCTTGCCATTGCCCCACGAAGCTCGTCAGACGGACTGGGTGGTTCTGGGACATCAAGGTCCAAAACCGGCGCCCCTGCCTGGTAAGCCGCCAAGCGCTTTTGCATGGCAGCCAGGTAGTCCGCCGCTGATGCCCCGGGTACGGAAGGGTTTTCCTCCTGGTCGCCCACCACGTCGATCAACACCTTCAACAGCGAACGCCCGCACATGAACACGATTAGTCCCTGGAGCACCTCATACATCCTGTCCGTATCCTGGCGCAGCGGCCTCGCGAAAGTTGCCACGGCCGACGCCTTCTCTTCCTAACTAAACTTGGGCCATACACCAGCATAAAGCCTGGTGTATGACACAAGCCAATCCGGGTCCGCTCGCATAGCTGGGAGCATTCGACCCTGGAGCGACATAAAAAAATCCTGCGTGATTGCCTGCTTGAGGATTGGCACTTTTTCGGTCGCCTGGCCCTCACCCAGGCCCGTGTAGGCTACTTTCGTGCGTACCAAATCGATGTACTAAGACCACGGCCACAAGTTATCCGAATCGCCACCCGTCAACACGACTGCCGTTTGCTTCACCATGGTTGCCTGCAAAATCTCCTCAAATTCACCAAAATCTGATGCTCAATCACCGAAATCTCAAATTTCAAAGAAAAAATAGAATATAGACTACTGCCTATTAACTAAGTGTGATGCTGTCCCAAGCTACTTTAAACTAAAACACAAAGGTCGGTGCTAGAGACAAACTTTCTTTAATTAGTTAATATTATGACAGTGGTCTACTGACACCGGCCTCAAAATGTTCACAGTGTTTTACCTTGTGACATTTTGTATGTTCTCAAAATTTGAGACCACACGGCCGGGCCCAAAACCCTAAACCCTAGACTCAGTTCGGCGATAGGCCCCATGAG